AAGTCCATGGTCCGACTCAGGAATTATGATAACCACTATAGCAGAGGAATTCGGACAAGGTGCATCTAACCAAGTCACAGTGACAACTCGATTAAGTTGCGAAGACGAGGCCAACCCACTTCTTTTAAATTATATTCTTCTAAAATTATGGTCTAAAGATGATGGCTAACAAAGATCTTATAAATAGAATTATATCAAAGGGAATTGTTAAGACCACAAACCTGCAAGGGGTCAAGAACGGTTCCATCTGCACTCTCAATTTCGCGTTTGTACAATGTCATTTCACCGTCTCGCGCAACTACTTCCCAATTGGGTTGAGTGCTCTCTAAATTCTTGCTCAATAACTCTCGATGAGGGTTCATTGCCTGACCTCCAGAACACTCCTGCAAAGCCGCCATTATATTTTCTGAGGCGTTCAAGCTTTTGTCTGGCTTCAGGAAACTCGATGGGTAGGCAGAATGAGCCTCAGTGTTAGATAAAATATCGTATTCTAGCGACCTTGACACTCCGCCATCTGATTTCATGGTCCGATCATCAAAATTTAATGATTTTGGCGCCGAAAACCTCGTGTGGAAGGCAGACTTAATGGCGAGTGGATGAAAGGGACAGTTAATAGGCGCAAAAAGACGCAGTGCGGTAAGAAGCAGATGTTGACGATCAGCGACAGCCTGATGGATATAATGGAAGAGAGGATGGCTCGGCGCCATGGCAGTGGAAGAATGTAGCTCATCACCAATGGGAGAAAGTGAATTGGGGGCCTCGTTTGGCCCTTATCAATTAAAGTTAAAGCAAAGGATGAAATAAAAAAAATTTGAGCAACGAGGGCATATGAGAAATGGAATGTAGATTTATTTATACAATCGCCTTCTAGTGAGATCGACCTACGAATCTTTTCATCATGTACTTTCAAACGAAATGAAAGTTTTCACAACAGAAATACCCAAATAAGTCGATTATAACAAGCAAGCTCCAGTTTTATGTTGATTTATGGTAAGTTTAGCTGATTTTAAAACTGGTTGTTATAGTATATGGTGGCACTAGCTGATACAGTGGGGCGATGCAAAACATTTCAACTTTGATTTATGCTTATTATAAAGTAAATAGAGTGACAACTGATCAAGTATTATGGATTATCCATAACACACCAATTCAGATTTCCAATAAAAAAGCTCCAGTT